ACCCTCCGACCTTTGTATTTTCATCAGTAAAATGCCAAGACGTGCTTCTCCCCTATAGTTTGTCAACTGAGCTCTACAAGCTAGTTCCCTTTTCCCCTTCCACATGGAATGTGGGACAGGAGGGACACATGACCCTCGCTGATCCCTAGGGACAGGTGGCAACCATGCCGGCTTCAAAAGGAGCGGTACTGGCCGAAGGGTGGAATGGGTTAGCACTTCAGTTTGGGGTTCTTTGGCTGCATTTTTGTTTGTTGTTTTCCCTTAGCTTCCTGGCATGGCACCCCCCTTCACCCCCCCCCCACCCTTTCATAGCCCTTCCTGCCAGGATTCTTTTGGCCCAGATGCTGCTGTCACCCAAGCCTGAGCCAGGGGAGGAGGGCCCTCCATCCTCAGCCCACCCTCACTCAATAGCAAACTGACCAAGGCAAGATGGCATCCTGCCCTCCCCCTGTCCTCAGGCTCTCACCCTTGCAGGCCACCGGTAGCTTCTAGAAGCCCATTTTCAGGATGAGAATCTGAGGCAAGAGCAGAAAACCAAGATCTCCAAGTCTCCACTGCTCAACCGGTGGCTGCCTCCCTCACCGTGGCGGCTGCCTGGACCTGGACCTCTCTTCCCCCAGCCTAGAGCAAATGCCTGTGATTCTCTGAGTGTCAGTTCCCTTGTCCCTTGGACGAGAGCAGGGACCTCCCCCGAGGGCCAGTGTGAGCATGGGATGTGTCAGCTGTCCATACCCTTTAAATGTCTGGCACAACTTAAGTCACCTGTGAGTGGCCATTCAGTGAAAGTCTCTGCCCCTGTCATTCGAAAGACTCCCATGTGCCAGGTGACCCGGATCACAGACCCCGCGAAGCCACTAGCATTGTATGCCTAGAATAAATGCCTTTACAGAGAGATTTACCAGTCGCGGGCCACAGCCAGCCACAGGCACATTTGCACTGTGCGCATTCAGAAGTATTTGCCAAGCACCTGCTCCCATCAAGGCCTGTGCAAGGCTCCAGGGCCCGGGACTGCAGGATGACCCTGGACAGCTCCCAGAGCGGAGCCTGGCAAGGAAGACAGAATCCATTTGTTAGTGGAGTTCTGCTTTCCGAGGAGTCTTATCGCTCACATTTGGGTGCCCAGCGCTGCCTTTCTGCGTTCCTTCTGGTTTCCGGATCAGGAGCAAGGGCTGAAATGCTTTTTTCTTTTCTCCCCTTTCCGGTGCCAGGGGCTTCGCCTCCCACTGCCAGCCCTGGCCCTCCCTGTGCAAAGACGCCTCTCTCCTTGGCAGCCTGGCCGAGAAGCCGCCTGAATGTGCGCAGGAACTCGAGGAAGGGAAAGGCAAAAGTGGAAAAGAAAGGCCGAGAGGAACCCGGGAAGCCGTGGGAGGTCTGCGCCCCGGAGCCCCAAGCGAGCCGCCCGGGCAGTTTGGCACAAGCTTCCCCCGGAGGCGGGCGACGCCGGCCTGACACACACCCGGCCTTTTGTGGGAGAGAAACACAAAGGCGAGGGAAAAACAAGCCTTCCGTTTTGACGGAGGAAGGCTGCAGCTCCAGGTTGCACGGGCCAGCCAGAACTCCGGAGCCGAGATTAGCCTCGGGGGAGTGAGCGTTCAATTTCCCGGGAAGGGGCTGTAGCCAGGTGCGCGGGTGGGCGCAGTGCCGACCCGCCCAGTCTGTACACACCAGGACCGCTGCAGGAGCCCCGGACAGTGCCGGGAGCCTCCATGCAAAAGAGAAAGTCCTTGAGTTGTAGTTAAATGTCCCATTCTATGGGGCGGAGGCCTGCGGTAAAGTTTGGAGCCTCAGGGAGTCTTCTGCAAAGACCAATTTGCTCCTAGGTTAAGGGTACCCAGAAGTGCACTGACGTCCCATCTACTCCCACAACTCTCAGAGTTTTTGGAGGTGGTGGGGGAAGAGGGGCCCGCAGCCCAGAGCTGCCAGCCTGAGCTCAGGGCTTGGGGAGTGAGGCGCGAAAGCTACCCCTCACCCCCAGCAGCTCCCGCTGCTGCTGCTGCTGCCGTGAGGCGCTGGGCTGTGGCCTGAAGCATCCTCACAGAGCCATCACGCTGGAGACCCAAAAGCAAACCAGCTCTCCAGGCGGACCCTGCCCATCCCCTAGGACTCTGCTCTTCCAGGCTCTCACTCTTGTTATGCAGGGAGTGGCCCCTCCGCCTTCATCCCTGCACCCAACCTAACGCCCAGGAGCAAGTGCATAAAGAAACCAAAATCCAACCCCAGCTGGCCTAGGGATTTAGGACTGCCAAGGTGGTGAGCATCAAGCAAGGAAAAGACAGGAAGCAGAGTTCCAGGACTTGTGCTGGGCTTCTCAATCGCTGCAGCTCAGAGGCCAGACGCAAGGCATGTGCTGGTGTTTGTTAGCTACTCTGGGGCAAACACAGACCCACACCCTGACTGGTGGGGTTCACACCCCACAGATGTCCTCACTGCATGGCCAGAGTGCCCACAGGAATGATCCTGAGAACCCCAGCCGGTCCTGCTCCCCACCCAGCTCTCTGCCTTGTTCGATGTGACAGGTCCTCCGAACAGAGCCGTTATGGGTCATCCCAGAACGGCTGGAGGACACATCTCCACGCTTCAGTTCTGAGTGTCTTAAATACATATTTAACGGATGGCTGCAGAACCATCTGGAAAAGCTGCTCGCTGGACGACCCAGAAGGCAGCAGTGTGGGATGCGGGCTTCCCCAGGAAGTGGGAGCCCTATCTGGTTTGTTTATTTTGTAACTTTGCACCTTTAGAGCCAGGTACTGTGATTGATTCCTTGTGTGCTTGTTTTTAAAGTCAACAATGCAAAATCACAAGTTCCCCAACAACACACACAACCAGGCGAGGCCACGCTCCCTAGCAGAGAGGATTGGGGCGTTTGGGGTGTGCTCAGGGTAAAGGGCTAGGGTCCTGGATCAGCCAAAACAAACACTGTCTTCGAAATGTGATGAAATGTGATGACAATTTCAAGGAAAAGGTTGGCGACTGCGGGGCTCGGCTGTTGCGCCGGCAGCCCAGCTGCACAGGCAAGGTTGTCTTATAAAACGTTCGTTTCGTTTCGTTTTTTCAGTAGACTTGCTGCAGCCGTAACCTCTCGAGTTTCCCATCTATAAAGTGGGCGGATCCATCTGTACCTAGGAAATATCTCGGGTGCTTTCTCCCTTAATCACCCTGGGTTTTAGTTCCTCGCTATCAGCGGGTAGGGGACAGGCGGCTATTGACAAAACGGGGCCGCCTGGCGTTAGACCTCGCAGTACAGCCCTCGGGCTGGGGAGCTCTTTGCCGGGCCCGAACCTTCTTTTTGCAGACAAACCAGCTTTCCCTCCTACTCCGCTCGCCCGGTTCTGGTGCTAATTAACGCAGACGATGCTTAATTCTGAGCTCCACGCTGTCCTCGCGTCAGCGTTGTCGCTGGGCCGGAATATCGCTCACCTGTGTCTACACCGGCCTCAACTTTCTGGAGCTGGGATCTCTTTCCGCCCCGCAAACCCCAGCTCCCAGCTGGGGGCGCCACCGGCCGCCCGTCGAACCGCCGCAGAGGCGACTCGGAGATGCGCGCTTGGTCCGCGGAAAGTAGGGGCTTTGTGCCGGGTTATCGTTTACAGTCGGGGCTCGACATGCTTACGCGTTAACGAAACCCATGAAGCAGGGACTGGGAGCGAGAACCCGAGAAGGAGCAAAGCTTGGGCGCAGCCTCCAGCCGGGTCCCCAGGTCTCCGGGACCAGCCGTGCGCATCCCCGGAGGTCCGACCGCAGGAGGTGTCAGGCGGGCCCGCGCGTCCCCGGCCCGCCCCACCCCAGCCTGGCTCCGTGGTCCCCGCGTTTGCCCAGAAATGTGACAACGTTCCTTCTCTCTGGGTTCCAACTGCGCTCGACCCTCGGGACCGGCCCGGCGAGTGCGCCCTCGCGGGTCCGCGCCGCACCCCCTTCCGCGGGCCGCGCCTCCGGTCCCTCCCCAGAATCTCCGTGCCGCGGACGCCCATTGGCTGCGCGCGGGGAGGAGGCGTGGCCGGCCGGGGCGCGTTTCATTGAGCGGAATTAGCCGGGATGACATCAGCTTCCCAGCCCCCGGGCGGGCCCCGCTCATTGGCGCGGCGGCCCCTCCGGCACCCGCACTTTGTTCCCCGCCCCCGCCTCTGCCACCGCCGCCCCGCGCCGCCGCCGCCGGGCTATAAAACCGGCCAAACCCAGAAAGGTGCGGATGCTTATTCTAGACCGACGCGGCCTCGGCTCCCGGAGCCCGGTACCCCGCTACCACAGTGGGAAGGAACTCCCGAAGAGCCTCCCGAGTAAGTGTTCCCGCCCCGGCAGCCCCGTCCCACACCCCTGGGGCGGACGCTTTGGCGACCTGGAGGCTCCGGGAGCGGGGCGCCCCGATCCCGCCCTGCCCGCGAGGACTCCGGAGCAGCTTCTCCGCCGACACTCCCCGCATTCGTCGCAGCATCCCCTGCGACCCAAAGCGAGAGGTCGGGGCGACCGCAACTCCTTTTGCCCAAGGCGGGGTCAGCCGGGGAGGTCCCCGCGGCCCCTGGACGCTGCGCCTGGAATCTGGGCCCCGCGCGGGTTCTGGGCGCGCGTGTTTGCTGCGTGGTGGCGATGGAGAGGAGATGGATGAGTTTGCGGAGTGAAATGCTTCTCTCTTTAGATCTCTCCCTCCCCAGAGCCATTCGCTTTTTCCAGCCCCAAGCCCCAGCCTGTCCATTCCTAACTGAGGGCTTAGGGTACCAGAACAGCCCCCTCGCTGAGGGGCGGCACCGCTCCCGGGATAGAGCAGCCGGCGGGTGAGGGCCGAGGGGGGTAGGGGAGAGGGCGCCGGAACGGGGCTCTGCGTACCTGCGTGCGGCGGAAAGGAAGGCCGGGGCCGCGAGGAGGACGCGGAGCACCCGCTGGACCCGCGCTGCGGGCAGGCGGGCGCGGCTTCTCGCTCACCGCTTCGGTCTCTCAATCGCGAGTTCTCTCGAGCGTTTCTTCTCCTCTCCGCAGGAGGTGTGCGTGGAAGGCGTGAGGGTCGCGGGAGGGAGGACCCTGCGGAAGCTGCTGCTGTCCCCCGGGGCCATGGACTCGGACGCCAGCCTGGTGTCCAGCCGCCCGTCGTCGCCGGATCCCGATGACCTTTTTCTGCCGGCCCGGAGCAAAGGCAGCGGCGGCAGCGGCTTCACGGGGGGCACCGTATCCTCCTCCACGCCCAGCGACTGCCCGCCGGAGCTGAGCGCCGAGCTGCGCGGTGCCATGGGAGCGGCGGGCACGCACCCCGGGGATAAGCTGGGCGGCGGCGGCTTCAAGTCATCCTCGTCCAGCACCTCATCGTCCACGTCGTCGGCCGCATCGTCCACCAAGAAGGACAAGAAGCAGATGACCGAGCCCGAGCTGCAGCAGCTGCGCCTCAAGATCAACAGCCGCGAGCGCAAGCGCATGCACGACCTCAACATCGCCATGGACGGGCTGCGCGAGGTCATGCCCTACGCCCACGGCCCGTCGGTGCGCAAGCTCTCCAAGATCGCCACGCTGCTGCTGGCGCGCAACTACATCCTCATGCTCACCAACTCGCTGGAAGAGATGAAACGACT